ATATATATATATATATATATATTTGAAAAAACTACCATAAAAAAATGGTTGAGCTTGGGAATGTGAAGATTGCTTTAACAGACTACAAATCCCAATTTGACCTCTTTACAGTTTACACCCCCCTTAAAAGACAAGACAATTCCCTAATGTCGATGTCCTCCAATTCTATCCTATAATTTGTTTACATTTGTAATAAAATAATGTTACATTTACATGCTTCCACTCATCTGAATGAGCACCATGAGTTCTAGTGACTTATTGGCAACGATACATGTGGCTGAGAAACCACTACACATAAAGGGGTTCTCATCTCATCTCCATCAACCATCATGATGTGTGACCACCTTTGAAAACGAGTGCAGTGGAAGTCACGACTCACGGCTTATGCTTAATAAGTCTCAACTTGTACCCTCCCATCTTTGTCTTCTTTCAACTTTACTTCAAGGACAGGGAACCTAAACCATAAACAATTCTAACTTTTCATAACACGACAAACCAAGAAAACTACCTAGTTGCATTACAACTATTACCAATTCAACTTAACCAAAACTGACAATATCTTGGTATGTGCGCCTCAGATGATAAAGTCTAGTCTTTCTTGCCTTGTTCCATCTTATGAGGACATGACAATAAATTGCTTTTTTTGTTCCACATACAGTTTCTTGATACGTTTGTTCCACATATAAGGACATGACATGTTCTGTTCTGTTATGTTATGTCATGTACCGTTAAATACACTATAAACAACAAAAGTACAAAACAATAAAATGAAGGATCTTTACTATTTTTTTCCCCTAAGAAACAACATTAACATACATACAAGAAGCATAGAAGAAATAAGGGATACAATACATTACGCATATATAATTCTATAGTAGGGTTTGGTTGCATTTTGATCTTAATAATAATGATGACAACCTCGGTTACATGTACTTTAGATTGACTGAATGACTGTACAATTGGCTTAATGTTACACAACAAATGAAGCTTTCTTATTCTTAATCTGTTCTATGTCATTACTAAAATAAATACAACGTTTCACCTTCTTCTCGTTTTGTTTATATACAGAAGCCAGATCTACCTATATGCTTAAGAGTTGCATTAGATTTCCTGCTTATTTGGACATGTGCACTTTGCATGATGATCTGAAAGCTTCTGAAGTGTTAAAAAATTAAGACGAAATAAGTGAGATAATAATTACAGGTTTATGAAGAAGACGGATTAATTTGTGACTTAAAGTTAAAGGGTATTATTTATACCTCAACTTGTTTTTGAAGTTCTCTGATGTAACCCACAGCCAAATCCAACATGTCTGCTGTGTTTGTTTGCTGCAAATATTGAATACAAAGGACTTAATCTTGGGACATAATTAATAAACTGATAGAATGAAAAATGATGTTACCTTATCCATATTAGGAACAAGCTCTTGTAGTTTTCTCATTCTTTCACTTATTCGTGTTCTCCTTACCTACACATAAGTACAAAAATGGTTGTTTTTATTATCTTCATCATAAGGTAAAAGTAAGGTTCCAAATGATGAGTAGGTAAGAATGTTTATTTACCCTTTCAGCTATGCTTCTTGGATGGGTGGCACAACCCCTTTTAGCTCTGCTCCTTAAAGGCACATTGTCTTGGAACTGCAGTAATTTTTCCATGACAGATAACTCAGAGGAACTCGTTGGTAAACTCAGTTGATGACTCAAACCACTGGAAGCATGGATTCTCCCTTCATCATTCTGCTGATAAAGGTGATTTACTGTCAGGCTAAAGTTATTCTAAACCAATTTTCACAAGATGACATGTCATGTCATGTCAGATGTCACCCATTTTAATTTACCTGATTTTCTGTTGAACTTATTTGATCGCTTTCTCCAAGCTCTTTCATGAATTCATCAGTTAACATTGCTGGTTCATCCCAAGAACCACCAGGGAAGCCATAACCACCAGCTCTTGGATGAGTTTGACCAAAACCTCCATTGTTGTGTGCACCTGCACCACTCGTTCCCATGGTTTTGCCTTCGTTTTCAGGGATAAGAGACAGTGGTCTAGAAGATGAATGTGAAACTGATGAGAAAGCCATTCGATTTTCAAACCCCTTTGATAAATCTGGTACACTGCCATCATCAGTTCGAAATTTATCCATGGATCTCATCGTGGAGTAACCTGAAAAGAATTGTGATCAATTATAATTGCAGTGTGGGAAAAGATTAGGAAAATTAATGTTATAGGAATTGAAGTACCATTGCCCATATTAACGTGTTCGAAGAATCCAGCTGGTGAACTACTCTGACGAAGAAGGTTCGTTGGAGGATTCATGGCCACTAACGGGTCAACCAATGCGGGGCTAGAACCAGAAACAACCGAGTTATGATTATGATCGGCTTGCTGGTGGTTTTGGTACATCATCTGTTGCTGTTGAGACTGATATGTAAAATTCGCTCGTTCCTGCTTCATAGGATCCATAAATGGGGGGTCGTTTCCCCGAATTTGACCTATATTCTGATGAGAGCTTGAATTATCACCATCCCCGGAGATGAATCTCGATAAAATGCGTTCCGTTTCGGGGCTTGAAGACCGAGGGTTGAAGAATGGGTCAACTTCTTCGTCTTCATACATGCCACTGTTTATCAAATTCGAGAAATACGAACTCGGTGCTGATCTGTATCGCGTCAAACCAGTGTTCATAGTTTGTTGCCCCTGCTGCTGCTGCTGCAACTTCTGTTGCTGTTGTTGCCGTTGATTATGAAGATCCGAATCCATTAGAACCCTACAGGTTGCTTCCAACTACAATCTACGATAGAAACTAAAACTATTTCTTATAAAACATGCACACACTCAAAATTAAAGTAGCTTCTCAACAAGAAAACCAAACTTGACACCAACTCTTCAAAAGAAACTTACAAGATTTCACCATGAAGTAAACTCAAAGCTTCGCCATCGATAACAATACAAATCTGTATAAAAAAATCTACGTATTGGAGAAGATTAGCTTCAGAGGGCGATGAAAGCTGAATTGAAATTGAAATTCAATCAATTAACATTTGAAGAAATTGGTGAAAACTGTAAACCATGTTGGTGATGGGAGGCAGAGGAATGGAAGACGGTAGTGGAAGTTGGAGGAAGAAGAAAGAAGCAGCCATCTGTGGATTTTCCCTTTTTCCGGTTTTGTTGGTGTGAGTGCGTTGCAGGCTTGCAGCCAATAGGCCAAAAGCTGCTTTCCCATTCTTTGTTCCATTAATTTACCTTAACGCCACTTCATGTGAAAATTATTGGGGATAATGTTCGGAGCTGCTGAAGATCTACTTATTTATTTAATTTTTTTTTTAAAATTTTATTTTATTTTATATTTATCTTTTATTTTTCTCTTTTTATAAATTAATTTATCAATAGATTATTATCCTTTCTAATAAATAAAGATATTTTTTTGTCACTTGTTATATTCTCTTTTAATTTGTCAAATTTTATTTAATGGTTATTTTGAATTGATTTTTTTTTTCCATTTTATGAGTTTTTCTATTTTATTAAATTACACATAATATTTTAATGTAATAATTTTACTAATAAATGAATATCAAGTCCATTAATGAGCTTACCTTTTTATTTTTAAAATTCTCAAAATTAAAGTTCATTAGTTTCTTTTATTTATTTAATTTTTTTTAAAAGATAGAAAACACTTCGATTATAATAATTCATTATTTTTCTTATTTTCTTATAAATTAAAAGCTCTCAAATATTTTAACTTTTATATTTTCTTTTAAAATTAACCAATGTAATAAATGGGTCTTACAACTAGTCTAAAATAATTTATTAAAAATTATTTATAATTAGTTTATCAATAAATTATTTAAAATAGTTTATAATTTTTTTATCTTATATGTTTTCATCGTCTAACCAACTATTTAATCAACACAAAAAGTAAATTAACTTACGAGTCAAGAGGGAGTTTTGGTTGCCAAAACATAACGTACATTGTCTTTCGCCATCCGGCTAGCAACAGGAGATAAGAGATAGAAAATGGGAGAGACCATTTTGACAAACTTTTAAATAAATAAATGTCAAGATCACCATCATCATTCTGGAACTTTTTCAAGGTGGACATGTTTTTTGGAACATATTTAGGTGGTTATAAAAATGAAGAGGTGATGCTAAATTCACCGCCACTCCTCATAATATGAACGCTAAAAGAACCTTAGTTATTCAAAAAAAAAAAAAAAAAAAAAAAAAAACAATTTTTGGAATTATATATAATGGGTTCACTCCCCCCTCCTCCTTTATTATTTCATGACATGATGACAACCTAAATAGCTAAGTAAAACTTATCATTTTCATAAATTATTTTTTATGACATAAAAAATAAAAAATAATTTACCATTAAAAAAATCATGAATTAGTAAATATATTTAAATTCGTTTATTTAAATAGTTTTTGATAAGTTGTTTTATTAATACATATAAAATAAAAGTTTGTCAAAATACTAAAAATAACTTCTCAACTTATTTCGTTTTAATACCAAATAATTTAATCTAGATTTTTTAAAACTCCGTTTTAACATCGGATAAGCTAATAAACACTTTTACAAATCAACATAGGTCGTGTTAAATAAACAATCCCAAACATCACATCTTGATTCAAATCCCATTTGAAAACATTTTTTAATTTATAAATGAAAGTAAAAATAAATTTAAAAGTCTTTTTTTGGAAAATTGCTGCTAAAATTTAATGTCATATATTTATATATTGGTTAGTGTGAGTTGGAATATTTCCCTTAAAATTTTCTTGCAAAATTTTTCCTTTTATTTGTGTTATAAAAAATGGTTTAGGTAGTTTTGATCACACACCTTTCACTATAAAAACATATCATTTTACCGATTAATCTAACCTTAATTCATGAAAAAAAAAATGCAACCCTCAGGAAAATTAATAAATTCCTGAGGTATTGTATTAGAAAAAGTAAAACGTTTTGTGTGATAGACCTATTTGCGAGTTTAGGTAGGTAAGTAGTCTTTTTTTTTTTTTTTTTTTTTTTTTTTTTTTTTTTTAAATATAGGGAATTGACTTATCTTAGTAATTACTTTTTCGTTTTGTGTACATCTAGGTAACTTTTTATTTTTTGTATACATCTAGATAACGAACTTGTTAGAAGTGTTCACATATGACCATTATGACCGACTGTATACTGTAGCAAGTTACAGCCGGTTATAATGGTCATATGTGAACACTTCCAACAAATTTGTTAGCTAGATGTGTACAAAAAAAAGTTACCCAAATGTGAACAAACCGAAAAGGTAATTACCATGATAATTCAATTTCCCTTCTTTTTTATTTTATCTTCTAATTTTGATTTGGTATAAAATTTAACCTAAATGGTAAATATTTTTAATACCACACCATTTTGGTAGATATTTTTTTAAAATACATTACTTTGGTAAAAAAAACTTCAGATATAACAAGGAAAAAAACACATCGTCATTTTATAAAATTTTATTGTTTAAAATATTAAATATAAAAAGTAAAATTTACTAGAGACTAAAAGTACCAGAGATTGAGACCGATAACATAAAGAAGAACATCATCTTCAATGAAGTTTGCTCCATGTAATAATATTTAAATTGATATCATTGCTCTTGTCTCATATATATAAAGCTATTTGAAAATTATGCTACCAAAAATGACTCCTAACATCTTATGGTCAATTTAAATGCTTATATATGGTCATGAATACTGTTTTAAGGAAATTTAACTGAATCTATTAATATTGCAAACATTATGATTGTTGCGATATGTGCTTCGGACTTGACATTGTCACTCGATGATTCCGATTGGGTTGAGTCCTGTAATCACAACAATGAAGAGATAACGTCAGTCGACGTCCGGGAGGTGGTCCCAGGACAAAGCTCCAACGGTCTAGTTAGTGTATGTTTGAGAATAAGTTGATTAGGGTTTTTAATAAAGAGAAAGTGGTCCCTTCTTCTGGAGAAGAAGGATTATTTTATACATGTTCCTTGCGCATGATTCCAACGGTGTCCTTTGTCCTGTCTTGGCCGACAGGATGTGGAGGAGCCTCATTGGTAGATCGCACTAGTGGTCATCTGTTATTAGTGCAAAATAAACAGAGGATGGCGCCCCGGGCACTACACTTGTCGCTATGGGAAATAACCAGTTGTGTTTTGTCTCATTATAGACCGGAGATTGTCGTCAGGAATTGGACCTGGGCGCGTGAGCTCCAAGTTTGAGGGTCTTAGCGCAAGGGCAAGGGCTCGGGTCTGGCGCTAGAGCGGATTCGTGACTGTTAGATAGGTCGTCCTAAGGATAGCAGTTCTGTTATCTTTAATGTATTCCTAGTGGGATACATTAACAAGTCCCCTAGGGTAGTAGACGTCAGCGTTGGCCTGGCGTAACTGAGTTGTTCTAACTTAGATCAAGACATGTGTTCGACGAAGATGACCCCGACGTCCGCTGATATGATGGAGCGGTCTGCGCAGACGATTTCATCATGGTAACTGTTTGATTCTCCCGCTTTGCATAAAACTTCCCTTATCAGGGACAGTTTTACTCTTTGCACTTCCTATTCTTCATCTGCTTCTATCTTTTCTTCGTTTACCATCCCTTCCTTTCTGCTCTTACTCTCAGAGAACAATGACGACAAAACTAACTGGAATCGAGCCAACCATAAGTGATTTCGAGGCCTTGCAAGCCCGATTCGATTTCTTGCTTGAACACGGGGTGCAGTATCCCAGGAATAGGGTAATCATCTCTCGTCCACCGGAGGGTAAGGTCAGAGTCCCCATTTTGATCTTCGAGGAAAGCCTAAGGCTGCTGACAACTGACTTTTTTGACGAGATCATGCGTCAATACGGCTTCTCCATGGATGATCTGACTCCCAACGCTGTCAACAGGATCGTAGGCTTTGAACAGGCCTGTCGAGCCCTTGGAGTGCTGCCTCTATTCTGGGTGTTCAAATCCTATTTCAACTTTTCCACTCAATCTGTCGTCCATACCTTTTCTCAAAGGAGAGACCAGGGCCGGCCCTAGGGCCCGGGCAAGCTGGGCGACCGCCCCGGGCCTCACGAAAGCTTGGGGCCCCTAAGTCAAAATTGTTATAATTAATATATATAAAGTTTTTAAGTAAATGTATTTGATATTCATCGAAATATAACATAAGTTGTTGTTGTCCAAGTTGGCTAGTCCGCGTGCCTTTGCATACCAAAACATCCCATGTTCGAGTTCTTCCCGGTCCATTTTTGCCACTTATTACAAGTACAGTGACACACAACCCTTATATATATATATATATATCCCATTAAACTTTTACAACCCCTTTATGAGCCTATATTCTATATATAAAAAGAATGGTTTTTTTTTTTCATATTAGAAGGATGAGAATAAACAATTGTTTTTTCACATGTAACGATTCTGAAATAGTTATATATAAAAATCATAAATTGGTCAATCTTTTATGTTTGCTATGTGTTTGAACCCAAATTAGTGAATCACCCGGTAAAAGAAGAATGACAATCATAATCACCCAAATTAA